TGTGTGTGTGATTGTGCCTGTCCTCCCCAACTCTGTGTGTGTGTGTGAGTGTGTGTGTGTGTGCGTGTCCTCCCCAACTTAGTGTGTGTGTGTGTGTGTGTGTGTGTGTGTGTGTGTGTGTGTGTGTGTGTGTGTGTGTGTGTGTGTGTGTGTGTTATGTCCTCCTCCAGCTAGTTTGTGTGAGCCCTTCCCTCTGTCTTCAGATATTGTTGTTCAGTTTTGTGTTTAGGTATTTGCCCTCCTCTGTTTCTGGTTTCCCAGTTAGATTATTAGATTCACCTGTCTTCCCTCCAGCGCTCACTCCACGCACCTGCTGCCATTTTCCCTAATTACTCCTCCCTGTGTATATAAGCCCTGTCTTGTCTCTGTCTTGTGTCGGTCCATGGTGGTAATTCTGTCAGTCTTAGTTCATGATCTCTAGTATTACTTGTGCATCTCGTGTCTCAGTGTTTTGATCTCTAGTTTTTGGTTTTTGGACATCTTTGGACTTTGGCTCCCTGCCTTGGATTTATTCTTTTGTTTTATCCTTCAAAATAAAGGATATTTTCTTTTAATCATCACCTGCCTCGTGTCATCCTGGGTTCCTGCATTTTGGGTCCTACAAACCTCGCATCGTGACACAGCCTTTCACGGAGTTGCGCCACAGTGATTCAGACAGAGCGCTCAGAACTCCTCTGCGCCGTCAGAACCTTTAAGCAGGTGCAGGATGCAGAGATAAGCGATGTCTAGCCTACTCCATGATTAAAGCATATTTAAGTGATTTTAAAACAAAAACACTTCTCAAAATTAAAATACAAGCTTAGGGATCATAAATACAGAGCAATGAGTTGAGAGAAACTGTTAAATTGCATTGTTTATGTGCTACCTGGGCACTCTAAGTATTAATTTAAAATTAAATCTAAGTAAATTGTAATGGTATTGAATGTTTATTAATTACTATTTAAAAAATGAAAGTGATGGGGAAAAAGGTCGATCACTTTTTTTTAACCTATCTGTCGAGTGACTGTTTAGCGTGACATCTGATATATATATATATATATATATATATATATATATATATATGTATATATGTATATGTATATATATGTGTGTGTGTGTGTGTGTGTGTGTGTGTGTGCTCCTTTTCTGTGGCCGTCTCCAAGTTTAGGTCCTCCACCACCTCCCTTACCCATGGTGTCCCACAAGGTTCTGTGCTGGGGCCTCTGCTCTTCCTCCTCTATCTGCTTCCTCTTCAGCACATCCTGAGCTCCTTCAAAGGAATCTCCTACCATCTTTATGCAGATGACATCCAACTGTACATCTCCTTTAAGCCCCATGAGATGTCTAAGCTGCAGCTGTTACACACCTGCTTAGACTCTATCAAAACCTGGATGGTGGGAGCTTTCTTCAGCTGAATGAAGATAAGACTGAGATCCTCATCTGTGCCCCAGACAAGCTGGTTCCAAAAGTCAGACACTCTCTTGGTCAGCTTGCTTCCCACACCAAACCTTCCATCAGGAATCTTGGCGTGACCTTTGACCTAGCTCTCACCCTGGATTCTCATGTCAGTTATCTTGTTCGCTCTTCCTTCTTCCATCTCAGGAACATTGCTAAGCTGAGTCCCATTCTGTCCCGCTCTGAACTTGAGACAGTTCTCCACACCTTCATCTCCTCACGCTTAGACTACTGTAACTCTCTTTTCACGTGTCTGAGCAGAACCTCCCTGAACCGTCTACAGGTGGTTCAGAATGCCTGTGCTCGGCTTCTGACCAAGTCCTCCAAACACACCCACATCACCCCGCTTCTCCTCCAGCTTCACTGGCTGCCAGTCAACTTCAGGGTTCATTTCAAGATCCTGGTTCTGGTCTATAGGGCCTTACATGGACAAGCACCATCTTACATTGGTGATCTTCTTAGAGTCCCCTGAGGTCCAGTGACCAAAGCCTACTGGTTGTGCAGCGCACCAGGCTAAAGGTCAAAGGTGACAGATCATCTGCTGCTGTGGCCCCCAGACTCTGGAACTCATTAAATAAATATGGCTGAATGTTTGATGAGGTTTAACAAGTTATCAAAGTAATAATAAACCATCCAACGCTATTGTGAAGAACCTACTTTACCAGTGTAGTGGAAATTCTCGGGGATCCGGTTGGCAAGTGAAGCCGTCTCAGCAAAGCTAGTGAGTGAACTTCTGATGCATCTGAGGGTTGTAGGCCTCCTCAGAATACGAACGACTGGTCAAAGACATGCTTCCCTGGGTGACTTCTGGTGGTTCTGATGGAGTTTTGCATCAGCTGGAGGTTTGCAGGTTAAACAAATAATAATTGGTTTATTCTGAAAAAGGATGGTTCTTATGCCACTGGTTTGATTTCCCAAAAGTTGATAATTTAGCATAAGCTGGAGCTTTGGCTGGAACTGCTGAATATAAGAAGTGTTTCCTCTTTTAAGGTTTTGCTGTTTACAAGTTTTGGACCAACCAGGTGCCAGAGAGTGTAGAGGTGTAAGCGGACGAAAATGAATGGATGGATGGATGGATATTTTTTTTCTAAGTTACTGTTAGCATTTTTATCTCAACGTTAGCCTCTAGCCTTTTTTACCTGATAATAGGGTGAAACCAAAAGATGCCATGGCTTCTTAGTGGTACAATAAATAACGTTGGGGTTGCACTTGGATTGGGGTCCTTTGGAACCCAATGCAATTTTTGCGGGACCAGGAGGTTTGGAGGTTGCATTGGATGGGAGTTAGGAGCTAGCAGCTAGGAAAAGACAGTGGGTTGCCAATTTGTTAGAAGATGACGAGTGCAACTAAGTTAGAAAACACAATTAAGGCTGAAGAATGTGAAACTAAAACTGGGAAAATTAGATGTATGGAAAAACCTGAAGTTTATAACAGCAAAGGCGTGCCCTGCACAATCAGACTAATTCAACAGTGCAAAATGCACAGAGGTCTACCTGAAAGCACTTACTCTTTTTCACTGTTGTAGGTATTGGTTCATCTGTGGTTTGCGTTGCTATCAAACGCTGTTTCACATGGAGGGAAATATTGTAGTGTTTGGCATGTGACTGCTGTGGTGTCTGGGAATCTTCAGAAAAGTCGTTGTGTCAATGCCATATGAGGTGAAACCCTGGGAATGAATGTATGAGAAATGTAATTTTATACCATTTGATTTAGTGTTTGAAAAGTAAGGTAATTGTTGTTTTGGTGTTGTTGTGTATGATTATTGCCATCCCAACAGGCACGCGTTTCCTTATTGAACTAGATGATTAGCTCAGCAGAAAAAAACATGTTTTGCGTTCTGCTGTTTCCCCGTCAACTGGTCCAAAAAGAATTGCTACATTTTATCCGTACAAAACAACAAGACATGCATGCTGTCTGCAACTAGGACATTGTTGGGAAGACATTGGACCTTTGTGATATGGTTCCTCTGTGATTTTGGATTATTCTGGTGCAGAAGCTTTATCCAGTTGGGATCGGGGGAATTTTGGAGGCTGAGTCAATGCATTGACCTTTTCTTCATGGTCCTCTGGATGAAGCTGAGCTATTAGTGCTGTGTGACAGAGAACATTGTCTTAATGTAGCATGAGCATGCAGCCCTTCTGTTTCAGTTGCAACAAACTTTAGGGAGATGAATCAGACCTTTTAGCAGAAAACTGCATTTTAAATAGATATTTTTTATTCAATGAATGTCAGGTTTTTTTCTACTGATCTAAGATTCTAATCGCAAAAAATGTAATGACTGGACCTGAAGACCCGTAAGGACCCCGAGGCACAGTAAGGCTCTTTAAAAGTCTTTATTAGCAAAAAGCTAAGACATGGCATTACCCGTGGAGGGCAAGGCTGGAGACAGAATCAGTGAACAGGCGTGGGTCAGAACCAGGAAGATCTGTAAGAGGTCCGTGGAGCAGGCGAGAGACGTGGCAGAGGACAGGTGTGGGTGGTGAATGCAGGTAGGGTTCCAGCTGAAGGTCAGACGTGAACCAGCGGAGGAGGAGGAGGAGGAGGAGGAGGAGGAGGAGGAGGAGGAGGAGGAGGAGGAGGAGGAGGAGGAGGAGGAGGAGGAGGAGGGACACAAGGTCAATGAGGAAGGCTGGAAGATCTACAAGCAAGAGCATTCAATAATTTGGCAATGGTTGGACAGCAGGCTGGATCTCATATAGCAGGAGAGGCAGGTGTGTGGCATGAGCTTGATGAGGGGACCAGGTGTGATGAATGAATGCTGCAGGGCATGGCAGGATCACAATAAAGCGTAAGGTAACCAGTTTTTTTTTCTTTAGCACGATTATCTTATATTCCCACTTCCATTTCATTTATTCATCGTCTATATCAGTCCTTAAGGCTGAAAGGGTTTTGTTTACAGGTGACCTAAACTAGCGCTGACGTTTGAAGTTACAACTGATTGTAGCTCTGTACTAACTGCTGGGCAAGTATTCTGCAACAGCAAGGCCAACGTTACACTACACACAAACACAAAGACTAAGCTTGGTCTGGTAAAAGCTACGATCTTCATCTATCTTCATCCACAATGATGCCAACACTGCCTTCCTGTTGGGAACCGACACCGATGGGGCTAATAATGGCAGCAACTACTCATCTATGAGAATCTCTTCAAGCTATCGTGTTACACCCACTGGAATTCCCTCTCAATTATAAAGGACTGTATTATCATCTTAATATGCATATTATACGTTTATACAAACTAAGAATTCACCTTGTGCAAGCACAGCAAGCCAGTCCTGTATGTCTCCCACTGCTACAGAACACAGTTGTAGTCGATGCTTTGATGTTGTGGGACTCTTTTGCAATTTTCTGCACAAAACAACTTTTCCATTTATATCATTATATTCTCATCAAAGCACATTTGCTTGCCACTGTCTGGAGCTGAAACACGTCCTCAGCAGCCACATGTGGCAAACAACAACACAGTAAAAGACAACATACACACTTAAAGAGAGAAATACTAAAAGTAGAGTTTATGTTTTCATGCTTTGCTGCTTGAAGTGTCTGCATTCTGTTTTTCTCCTCAGTGTGTAGCTGTGATTTGGCACGATCAGGCTTCTTCCAGAAGAAGGGCGAGTACATTTGCACGGCGGACTATCAGCGTTTGTACGGCACACGCTGTGACCGCTGTGACAGCTTCATCACGGGAGAGGTGGTTTCCGCTCTGAGACGCACGTACCACCCAAAGTGCTTTGTCTGCAGCATCTGCAGGTATCCACTCACTCTCACACAGCGCTCACAAGCACCATCTTCTATTTGCTCTGAAACAATGTTGAATGCACGCCCCAAAATGTACATTTTACTGAAGTTTGTTACTAAGGCTGTGTCAGGAAATGTAAATGTTTTGGGTCAGATAAATTTTCCTTGGTGTCACCTTATCTTTCGTTAGATGTTGACTGATTCCTGAATAGACAGAAGAAAATCATTCTCAGTGTGTCTTAGGTGTGTTCTTGCTGTGTCGTGGTTCTAATTCCATGCTTTCGTTCTTTTTAAACACAGAAACAGTTTTGTTTACCTGTTTTGTAGCTACGGTTTTGCCGACGGCTGCCGGCTTCTTCAGGCTGACACTCAGCCTGACTTGGTCAGAAGCCGGCATTTTATTATTGGTCAAATATTATCAATTTTTCACAGAATCAATGTATTAGGCAATGGGATCAGATGCTCGGCCAAATTAAAGGCAATAAAAGACAAGGTACGGAGGTATATTTGGTGCAATAACATTTGTGTTTTTGTCACTGGTAACTTGAAGTCACAGAGAAAAAAAACAATCCTATCTTTCACATGTACAAAACAACAGCTTCACCCATTCAGAATATTTGGTACGAGTACACAAAGTGTATTCGTTGAGTCCCACATCAAAAAAATCTTAGTTACAGTTTTGCCCCAGTTGATCCAAAAAAAATGGTGCAAAACACATCCACACACTTGTGTATGAAATAAATAACTTGTGCCTTTTTTACTGTCACTCACACACACAACTACTGTCGCTTTCTTTATTTTGAGTAAATAGTGAAATATTAAAGGTAGCAGCTCTTTGACAGCATCTGTACAAGAATGTCTTCAGATTCAGATTTCAGATTTATTGGCCAAGTAAAATTACATTTACAAGGAATTTAGCTTCGGTAGATGTTCACTCTCTAAAACATACAGCATCTACAATAAATGAGAATAAAAATACATAAAAAAAAACATAAGAACATGTATACCCACACACAAATATACATACGTATATGCATACACATACACACACATATACATATGTATACACACACACACACACACACTCATATCCATAAGCATACTAAGTATAAAAAAAAGAGAAGTGATGAGGTCACATATTGCACATAACTACTGGTCTAAATGTTTCTAGTTCCTGGATTGTTTTTACAGCCAGCTGCAGAAGAGTTGACGAGTCTGACTTGTTCTTGTGTCTACGTGATGGAAGGACAGTGCTGGGTGGGTGGTGTCTGTCATGATGCTGAAAGCTCCACTCCTGGGGTTGAGAGACCATCTGGTGGTCCTCTGCTGTCCAGAACCGTCTGAGTAGAACAGGATAAAGACAGAAAACAGCAAACAGGTTGACTAAGTGACCCAGTGCCTCAAAACAATCGCGGCAGGATTTAATAACATGTCTCTCACCTGGCCAGGGAACGCCTTGGGATTCGCCCGGAGGAGCTGGCCCAAGTGGCTGGGGAGAGGGAAGTCTGGGCCTCTCGGCTTTTTAGGCTACTGCCCCCGCGACCCGACTCCGGATAAGCGGATGAAGATGGATGGATGGATGGATGGATGGATGGATGAATGGATGGATGGATGGATGGATGGATGGATGGATGGATGGATGGATGGATGGATGGATGGATGGATGGATGGATGGATGGATGGATGGATGGATGGATGGATGGATGGATCAATAACATGCCACTTAAATCCTGTACAGAATGTAAAAATTTCTATTAAAGATTAGAAAGTAACATTTTTAATCTAAAGGTTTTAGTTACATAAAGTAGAATATAATGTAAGCTAGGGATGAGCGAGTACACAACAATCTGTATCTGTTTAACCATCTATTATCTGTGTCTGTACTCGGAGTGAGCGGGACATAAACCGGAATTAGGGGTGGTTTACCCGGAAGTGGGTGGAGCTTAAATTATTTTAAGTCTGAAATTGATATTGATTGATTAAATGTTGTTTTATATGTTGTTTATTTGAAAACTATTTACAGAGCAGCCTCAGAATTGAGATTAAATCATTTTGATCACAATAGTAAAGGAACTGTCACAGAACAAGTTGTTCAATAAACTCAGAACATGAATATTTAAGTGCATGAATGAATACATCTGAACTCATGCAGTAGGAAATATGAACTACTAGAGCCAGACACAACATTTTTATTCATTTATTCTTTTTTTATTTTATGATCAAACTTGTTTTATTCTCACACTAAGTTAAACAAAACAAGGTGTGTGTGTGCGTGCGTGCGTGCATATGTGTGTGTGTGTGTGTCAGGGGCACAACTACCTACTTTAGGAGGGGTATGCAGACACATCCAGCTGCTGTTATTTATTTGTTGTTGGTGCTTATATAGAAACTAAATATGTCTGCAAGGCTTTAGGCCCAGGACTGTTTTATACCTCAGACCAAGCCCCCACAATGCGGGTGAAAAATTGAAGCAAACCCGGAAGTGAAATAAATTGCAGTTCCACCCTCATCCACAGAGCTAGCTCCGTGGAAAGGCCTCAGTAGAGCCTCGGTCTGGCCTGGAAACTGCTCCGGGATTTTCAGTCTCTCAACTTAGATCATTAGTTGTAGCGTTTGTGTATTCTTTTTTGGATATTTTTGTGCAATTGTTGGACAAAATGACTTGCTGTGGCATTAATTGCACTAATAGAGCGTCCAAGGAGTGTCCATTTTTTTCGGTAAGTAAAATTATATTTATGTACTTTAGGTCACTGCCGAGCTGAGCTTAGATTTTAACATGTACTGTTTAACCATGAAATTTAAATGTAATAGGGTAAAACCCAGTGCATTTAACATAATGCTGCACTTTAGAAAATGTGTTGAAATATAACATGTTGGTGGAGCTGGGTTCCGACTATCGACTTTTGGAGCTCTGGGATGGAAACCTTTCCACCCGGTTCTCCCCAGCGGCAGCTCCGCGCATCTCAGATCGCAGCGGCGCTTGTCTCCTGCGCAGCTGCCGGCTTGTGGAGACCTCTGTGTTCCACCCGGTTTTACCCAGCGGTCAGCCCGGCGTATCTCTGACTCAGAAGCTCTGGTGTTGTGCACAGTTAACTCCAGTTGTAGCTAGGTTGCTACCTCCGTTAGCTTAGCTCCCACCTCCGCGTGAGCTTTGGGTTAGCTTCAGGTTAGCTTGCAGCTAGTTCGACCGGGTGTTGTCAGTTGATCCCAGCCTTACAGCCCCACCCTCAGCACCACCTCTCTTCTCTTTTGTGGAATTGTCTGGGCCTGATGGAACCTGTGACACGGTCAAAATGGCAGTGGTGGCCACCTCCCATTTTACTTAAAAAATGTGTTATTGCAGCCTATGGAAACCCATTGTCCAATATTTATATGTCGATGCTCAGACCGACCCCCTTTAGATCCAACCCCGTTATTAATAATATCATGTATTGCAGAATATTTTGCAATGTTCACAGATGTCCAAACCTTAGAAATGAAATAAAATCAATATTAAAATTAAAAAACATTAACATTATTTTTGATTAATGATTAGTTATCTGTGAACGCTTTTTAGTTTTGATATAGTCCAGCTTAAGCAGACATCTGCTTACTTCACACAGAGCTGAGCTGTGGGAGAAAATATTCAGGCTTATATTCTATCATCTTTGGGTTTAAAACATTCACTTAATTATAAATAACAGGTCACTAGAGTCTGGGCACAGAAAGTGTCTCTAGGAACTAAAGCTCGTCGGCAGCAGCTCACCTGTTCCTTCCACACTGACAGGAGAAATCCTCTCATCAGCAGCAGGTGATCAACAGAGACGTGACTGAACACCGGCCCGAAAAATAACTAAAAGACACCGACCAGCCCGGCCCACTGGGAGTTTCCCCAGCCGGGTCCTGGTTCCGCCTGCCATCCCCGTTAGACAACAGCTGCTCATCGAGTTAACTCACACAAGAGCTTGGCTCCGTTAGTGTCCAAGACATGCGGCCGCAGGTCAGATAAAACAACAACAAAGTCGATCATCGAGCTGCGGCCTAAGGTATCCTGGTGCCAAGGGCACATATGGACACCTTTATGTCTGAACATGGTGTTCATTATGGATGATCCATGACTGGCACAGAAGTCCAATAACAAAACACCACTCGAATTCAGATCGGGGGGCCGTTCCTCCAAACCACACCTCTCCAGGTCTCACTGTCGTTGCCCACGTGAGCGTTAAAGTCCCCCAGCAGAACGAGGGAGTCACCAGAAGGAGCGCTCTCCAGCACCCCCTCCAAGGTCTCCAAATAGGGTGGGTAGACTGAACTGTAGCTTGGTGCATAATTACAGACCACAGTGAGAACCCGACCCCCCACACGTAGGCGGAGGGAGGCTACCCTCTCATTCACCGGGGCAAACCCCAACGTACAGGCACCAAGATGGGGGGCAACTAGTATGCCCACCCTTGCTTGACACCTCTGTAGGGGCAACTCCAGAGTGGTAGAAAGCCCAACCCCTCTCAAGGAAACTGGTTGCAGAGCCAGAGCCATGCGTTGAGGTGAGTCCGACTTGTCAAAACCTCTCAACCTGACACACCAACTCAGGCTCCTCCCCCACCAGAGAGGTGACATTCCATGTGCCAAGAGCCAGCTTTTGCAGCTTTAATAACATACTTGAATCTTCTTCAGAGTCAGATAGCCTGTGCAGACCTGTCTCTGCACATACGACCAGCAGAGCTGCACAGATTAATATACTGCAATAATTTCCTACTTCTGGGTTGGCCGTATTTTTAGAAAAAATCACTTGCCGCCATGAATCGATGCAGGGGCTCATTTATGATTATTTATAACATTTCCCATCATATTCTATCTTTCGCTGCTGTGTGTAATTAAACTGATGTGGGCTAGATGATTTGCCACAGCACAGTAAGCACTAAATGTATTTCTCATAAAGACTCCAACATAATTTCTCATTTTCCATACGCTGCAGTCTGCTTGCACTGTTTTTGCCTTAAATGAAATAGCAAAGAAGGTAGCTTAAGATATGT